TCCTTTAACAAGAACCCAGATGGTGGAGACAGGGTATTGTTTTTAAAAGTATTGTTGTTTTTTCTTTCCCGAACATCACCTGGATAAACTTGATTGTTCCAGCCCTGCTGGAACAACAATAAAACTCCTAGCTGGCTAAAGCCAGCAGGCTCTAGCCCTGGAGTCTAATCCAGCTGGTACAACCGGTGATCTCCATGATACTCCTATGTAGAAAAAACTCGTGCAAGTGGTTGTCACCCTGCGGAAGTAAAATGAAGCGATGCAGCTGTAGCTCTGAAATTCCAGAAAATGTCTGGGTCTAACATGGTCTAACTAACTTTACAAAGGGAAGGTGGGTGGAATATACCATTTTTCTATTGTATGCAGCTGGGGGACAGGTGTCTACAAGTTCTCTTCGAAGGGAGGAGGTTGAAGGTAAGGAAGAAGGAGGTATCGATTTAAAAATAATAGATTTTTTGTTCTCTTGGTATTTCGGGAAACATCGGTTCCAGAGTATGTCTGAAAGGTAGGGGTGCATAGGGGCGGGGACACACCGACCCACGTACATTTCCCTCGAAAACATATGCTTCCTGAGGGTGGAAAATATGTGTTTTGCTAAATATATCATAGAATATATGTCCCAATCATTGGCTGGATTCATGTTAATGGATGTCCCCCGCCACCTTGCCGCTTGCTTGGAATTGTATGTGGCACAGGGGGGGCCAGAAAAGCACTCCACATCCCAAGTCCCCCCACAAGCGCTAGTCCCCCCACAATCTTCGTTACTTTGGGCCGTGACTGTGTCAATTGCAGCGTTGTGCACCATGGTGTGCATACATTTGGCCTTGAATCTGGACCAGTCTTTCCACCCCATACATTTTGCTAGATGTTTGTTGACCCTGTCCCCCCCGGTTCATACAATGGCCGCGAAGGCCCAAGAAATGTCATAATGGTGTTATCGACAAAGCTTCTGGGGAGAACGCACGTGGCCCTGGTTGTTTTGTATGACAGGAAACTTGAGCAGCCCTGTCGCAAATTGTATGAATGGGATTGAACAATTCTTCGGAAATCATGGGGAAATCTCGGAAAGTTGACTGTCCTGATACAGTAGTTTATGAAAGCAAAGGGGGTGAAACCGCCCTCAGGAAGCATACGTTGTCAAGGAAATGTATGAAAGGGGCGGGGACGTCCATAATCATCATATCATCAAATGTCATCAGCCAAGAAAAGCAAAATGTATGAAATCATTTCCCCCGGAATGAAATTTGGAGATGAGGACATGTATAGTACATAGTATACATTTTTGGGGTGTACACCCCAAACATGTGTGTATCTATATAGTATATACACATTTATCTGACCTGGTTCAATCAGGTTAGCAATGACTTGGTAAGGGTACTCAACATTCTGATCTGCCCAGAAAGGCACGCTCATTTCTTCTTTCCAACGCTGCACTGCACAGTGTTCGTGTGCGGGCAAAATGAAAATGAAAAATTGCTTACTGTGTATATATAGCTTTAGCAGTGAAGCAAGTCTACAAGGACTTCTCTTTCGTATCCTTTTCTTGCTTCCCACTGCTAGACAAAGGATGGCGACTTACCAATTCTCGCACATTGGGGTGGCTTTCAGCAACTTCAAGACACGAACATTCACAGCCAATACTTGTGTTATGCTTAATTATTGATAATCATTATATATATATATTATCATACAATGGATGCCTTGGCGTGTTTGGTACAGACCCAAGCACAAAGAAAGTCAAAGATAATCTGAAAAGTCTGTCGGAGCCAATGCCCTAACATTAATTACAAGAACAAACGCATAGTTTACGAGCAGCAATTCAACATAAATAGTTTGGGGTGCTTGTCGCGACTACAATGCTAACATCATTTTGGGGCCCTACATATAATGTGTACGCTTTGCATCGCGTCTTTTCTTTCTGTGCACTTTACTTTGGACCTTGAGACCTTCCTTGTTCCTGCCTTTGCACAGTTTGCACAATGTGGATATGAAAACAAAAACAAAAGCAAACGTTCTGCATTGTTCTTTTCTGTCCACTTCCTTTTCTTTTTCAACTGTACATTTTCCTGGCTTCATCGATATCCCTTCTTCATCCATATCTTTCAAGGATGAGATACAAAAAAATAGATTATCCCCACCTGATGGACCATCTCACTCAGGCCGAATTCGTGGTCTCTCAGCACATCGGTCAAGTCCTCGGGCCTAGCGTTAGAATGTGAGGACTCATGTGTCTTTAAAAGACCCTCGAAGCTTTTCACAGCTTTCCAAAAGTACTTTTGACTTTTTAAGTATGTGTCTTATGTGTCTCTTCAACCTTTCCTTCCCTGTCTTAAAAGTACTCCCCGCTGCTCACAAACTGAATTGCTCACTGTCTTGCCCAAATCTTGCCGGTGATGCTCAATGGTGTTGAGACTCTCGCAGAATTGAATGGCGTACCTATGGACTCCGTTGCTTCTTCTAAGTATATATAATAATTGCGAACAGCCCCCATGCTATTCGAGGCAATCAGCAATTGGATCTGGATCGGGGCACATTTTGCAGAAGCTCCACGGCCTCGCTGAAGAAAGATATATAATATATCATGGACTTCGAACTCGCTCTGACAAGTGATGGAGAGCTACACTTTTCAAAAAATGGTCCGGGGATGTGTCCAAACTGTGGAGAATACATGAGAGGATTGTTCAGTCGTCACTTTTAGGTTCATGATGGCAACCTGTCGATCTGTCTTCAAGTTCAGCAAAGACCCGGACAAATGGTGCAGGCTCATCTCTCTCGCAAAGACTTCGTTGCTGGCATGTAGAATGACTTGTTGCATCGGCAAAAACATGTCGAATGTTTGATTGCAAAAAGAACAGTTTCCTGAAAAAACAAAACCCAAATTGTCCTGAATTGTTTAAACCTAACTATATTTTCATATGTGCGATTGCATTTATTTGGTACTTGGCTGAAATACACTATCTCTTATGTGGGGGCCCTATCTCGTTTAGACTACTTAAGCAGGAGGTCATGTCACAGTATCTCGTTCAGACATGTTCAGACTACCTTTAGTAACAAATCACACCATCTCGTTCAGACTACTTTTGTGACATCAAACAAAAATATATCGTTTGTATATGTGGGGGCCCTATCTCGTTCACAAGCAAATACTGATGA